TCCTTTCGTCGTACCTATTAAAGAAAAAAAAAAAAAGAAAAAGAAAAAAAACACAAGTTTCAATAAAATTCCTTCGACTGGTCTCAGACCACTGGCTTCGGAAATACTGAATCAAATTCAAATCTAAATATCCAATTTCCAACGATCGACACGTTGACGCGAAAGTTTCACGTTTTCCCCCTCTTGTGAGAGAATGTTTAATTTCATTTAATTTGATATGTAAGATACTACGTTACGATACTATGAAGTACAATCATGTTTTTCATTTCAGAGTATTTGTGTCATTGAGGACTCACAATGATGTTCATCTTGTTTTAATTATTCTAAAATATTCATCAGTGAACGTGTTTCTTTTTTTTTTTAATGTAATTCACGTTCGGTTCGCTGATAAAAAGAAAGAACGAAATATCTACTATCGACAGAGTAGGGGTTTGTTCTTTATACCCCGAAAAATGTCATCCTCGAAAGATACTTTCGACTACAGCCCTTCGTATTTTAAGGACCTCTATTTGAAAATTTGAATTCCAGAACAATCGCCAATAAAATTCGGCTCGATTCTGTTCGAAATTCACAAGAAATGCGAAACGTCGGATTCGACAGCGGCGAACGAGAGGCATATCCCCATTAATTTCTCGACGAACGTCACAACAACGTTTCGCGAGGCGAGAAATTCGACCGTAAGCCTGGCCTGACTTACATGGCGCTTATCTCGATTAACGATCGACAGGGAATCGTTTAGCGAAACTTGCCCCCCGAGGGAAGGGAGAACTCTTCCCGCGCCATCCGGAAGCGCCTGCTATCGGTAGAGACGTGTGTCACGCGTGAACCAACGATAATAAGAAAACTTGTAATTACGTGACTGAGGATGAATCTGAGCCAGGCTTGAGAAATTCCGCCGCGAGCACAGCTGTGCAAGATGCAAGTGTGTCGCACCGTCCCAGCTGGTAATAAATCGTCCTGCTTCGTGTAAAGTTAGTCCCGGCAGTAATTACAAGTTAGTTTAATTCATTAATTAATAGCGTCTTTGTTGAGCCAGGCTCGTTAAGCTGCAGCTGATTACGTTGGAGAGTAGAGATCTGTTGAAGTGTGTGTCTGGTCTGGTCTGGTCGGGCGAATGGCACGTTGCAGTTTCGTTGCTCGTGTTTCCGCGGCATCGAAACCGAACGGTTTCGGTTTAATTACTCAGTCGGCGACACGTCGGTTTAATCGAAAATCGCGGGTATTGAGCTTCCACTTTCTTTTTGTTTCTCGTATGAAATTGGATTCGATGGGATTATTATTTGCCCGGTTGGGTAGTTGAAATTATTGGACGATTGTTTGGTTAAACATCGAATTGTTGTAGAATTGTCAAATCGAAGTAAACTGGTGAGCCAACGTTCGCGATTTGCAAATTGAAATTTTTGTGAAACTCTCCAAACTGAAATGTTAGAATTATAGATCGAATCGAGTCGCAATTGCCAAAATTAAAAATCCAACGTAAATTTTGCTCGATCTTAAATGGAATTGAAAATGGAATTGACGTGTTGAAAGTATCGTATCGACGTTAAATTTTACACTAAAAGCGAACGTTTATTATAAACGAACATACTTTTGCTAACCATAAAATATACGAGCGACGTGAACGACGTTTTTTTTTTTTTGTTTTAAATATTTCAAAGTTTCGTGACAGCAAGTTATGAGTCGGTCAACACGTCGAAGACGACTAGAGAGGCTCTAGAAATCGGTTTTGTCGACCAAACAAAACGTCGATCGACAATCTACAAGTATTAATTAAACTTTCACGCGATCTACGTGAGATTAGAGACGAAACGGCTCCCTTCAACCCTTTAATTATCGACGTAATTGACTGTTTCCACTCCCCCCTCCGCCCACTTATCGCCGTGGACACTTACAGACTTTGCATGAAACAGATCCACCAATAGACGCCAGTTAACTTTTCGGAGATTAATTTCCAAGTTAGATTGATTACAGTCGCAAATTCAGTTAAACCTCCCTTCGGACTTATATCGTTAATACTTTCTCTAATATTTTTAGCCTGTTTTCTTACACAACAATTCTCCTTTTTGAACCTAGTGCTAAATGTTGCATGAGATGACTGCAAGACAACATTGAAATGAATAAAACATCCCCTAAGAGATCATTATCGAGAATAAGTTTTGCCTTCGAGATGAGAAATAAAACGCGAGAATAAATTTCAATGTTACGCTTTGAAAAGCTTCTCGCTATTTTCTTTCTAACGAAGATTTTATTTTCGTGACGAACTTCTATACTAAGAATCCAGGATCTTGGAAAAAAAAGAAAGAAGAGAAAAAAAAGAAAGAAACGAAGCAACAAAGAGTGCAAGAGTTTAACCGATGTCCAGGAAGTCGGCTGAAAGATCAGAAAGTCAATAACGGGGCTACAAATTTATACAAGCAGTTTGTGCATTGAGCTTTCGCAACCGGACATGAAATATGCAGAACCATCGACCGATCACTTCCCGCTACCAATGCTACTTCCTAGTCGTAAGAAACTAAAACTTTCTATCAATAGAGCGGCGACTATAAATATTTCGACAACGCTATTTGGCGCGTTGAATTTTTCACCGACGATTCTACCTTGGCGAGGCTCGCCAACACGTGCGGAAAAATATTGCGATGGAATTTTTACAACTGAAGTGGAAGCCAATAATATGACGCATTATAGTAAACATATACGGTGAACAGTCTAACTGAACCAACAACGATGAGAAGTTATCGATATTGCAACTATTATACACTTTGAGAAAGAAATATCATACAGCAATCTGTTTGGCTTCATTTTATAAGCCAAACTGAGTTTGTTTTTCTTTTTCGAAGACATTTTTAAAAGTCTAAAAGTTTCAACTTCGAAGAATAACTTTCACTTTCGATAATTGTCAAAATTCAAACATTTCAATTGTTGAAACAATTCTTTTCACAAATAGATTCACTACAGTCTTGAAGGTTGAAATTTATTCCATACAATGACTCGTTAAAACTTGCTGTACGATTTTTTCTTCACCAGTTTATTAAACTTCGAACATTGGGAATAGACGATGATTCCGTGAAATGAAATAAAAATTAATATGGTGTCTATAGTGTGTATAGTACTATAGGGAAGATTATATGTTGAATAACCTTCTTTAGAAACAATTTCTCGACCAAGGAACAAAGTAACTTCGAAGGTGAAAGCTCTATGTCTGACCACGATCACGTTCACTCGACTTATACCACTTACATATGTCCCATCGTACTTCCTACGTACTCTCGTTACAATAATTCCACGAATATTTATCTTATAATATTTTCATCGTGATCTATTGTAACATGTGCTCCGACAAGCTTAAAAATAGAAAAAAATATCGCCAAGAAAAATTTCACGCGAGAGTGAAGGAAAGAGAGTGGAAATTCTCATCAGCAGTTTTACTGAAGCGTCGTTTACCTTGTTAGGGAGGATTTCAAACTTCCTTTACCGTACGTTCCGACATTTCTTGCTTATTTGCAAAAAGTTTCTTAATCAGCAGACGGTGGTGCATTATCAAGACACGAGGGAAACGAGTCTCTAGCTTTCCGAACAGAAAAAGAATTGCAACATTTTGCGTTTGCCTTCTAAATATCATGTGCTTACTCTTAAGTTCTAAATTTAACTTCTGGTAACTCCAAAATTTTAATCTAAAACATTTTAAACTTATTTCATTCTAATTATTCCAAAATTTCTTTCTAAAAATTTTATTCTAGCTTACTTGCGAATATGGAGTAATTTGTTTTGGATTGTTCACCCGTATCCACTCAGTAATTAATTAATCTCTACGAATTATCAAACTCGACTTCTTTAAAAACCAAGGGTTTTACAAAAAAATTTTATTTCACGTTTCCTATCTATATTTTCGCGTTAAAACATTACTTTCCCAAAATGAAAACGTCGGGACACTCTATATTATCAAGAAACCAACTGAGGAACGCAGGAACAATACTTTTTGCAGTAATTAACGAGAATGACCTCGTGTTCAGGTTTCTATCTTTTTGGCCACCATATTAATGTCGAAATAAGAATTTTAGTAGTGTACTTTCGAGGAGGAATCTTTTCATCTTGTCGATTAAATGAAACAAAATATCCTGCATGGCTGATTTGCATATATTTGATATTATTTTTTACGTGATGAATAATCAATTTTTTTATCTTTCTGTTTCAGGTGAGTCAAAATCGATATTTCTTTGCCTTTGGATAACTGGAAACTAGTAAGTCAAACGATATCTACTTATTTATTTGGAAAGTAATTTAGCGATGACAATAATACGAAATAAGGTAGGTTTCGATGCTAAATGGTTAACCAACTGTCGGTTAGTAAGGAAATTATTGCGTCCATTTATCGAATGCAGAACAGTTAGAACATTGCGATTACTTATCATGCGTAGATAAGTTAGAACACCGTAGTTAAAAGCACAGACGAGATATACCTTGTTTATAACTGAACATTTCTTGTGTGAAAAAGCGTTAACAGTTGTTGACAATATCAAGAGGTGTTCTACATTACCAACAGCGAGTAACTGAGGTGTGGTACATTATCATTGTTTGATTACATAGTAATGTTTTAAAGTTCCATTAGAGATATCGACTGTTCTCGTTGTTACGGGTTCGATTTTCGTCCTGACTTCGCAGAAGAATAAACCCCGATATTGAAGTGATGACCTGATTCGGGTGAAAGCTCGGGAGGAGCTTCACATGACGTGAAAGGATCTTTGCTGACGTAATCCCACCCCACATGAGTTGCATGTTGACCAATCGGCTTGAAGAACTACCATTGTTCGTCTATGTACCGGTGTTTTAATATACCCACCCCCATTTGCTGTGCCGTGCACATCTGGTACCTATACTACTTCGGGTACCTTTTCATTATTTCGCAATCCTATATCACGAGCATTGTAGCCTATGATTAAAAACACAATGCACTATCGTCACGATCAGAATAACAATTCTGACAACATAGAATTACACTGTGAGTGTACAAGAAGGATTGGACAGTAACGTCAGAATTCAGATACTGTATAAAAATATAATTTTGTCAAAGTTTACAAAAGTATAAAGAGCTAGGCTCGTCACGAATTTTAAAACAGAATTTACATTGATTCCGACAAAATTCCTTAATTCTTTAATCCATCGATTCAGCTTTTGAAGACGATGGTACCTCCTCCTAAAGAACCAGCTGCTCCCAATGCACCTCCTCGAGAACCAGCTGCTTCTAGTGCACCTCCTCCTAGGGAACCAGCTGCTCCTAAACCGCCTCCTCCAAGTAAACCGGACGAAGTGTATCCGTAGCCAGATCCGTAGGCAGCTCCAAGATTAGCACTCAGTCTCTGAGAGCCAATTCCGGCTCCAAGACTAGCACCCAATCCAGAACCAAGTCCAGCACCAAGCGCAGAACTCAATCTAGATGCCAAATTGGCTCCAGGCGAGATACTAATCGAGCCAAGACCAGCACCCAGGCCAGATCCAACGTTGAGAGCATTGAGTCCAAGACTGGAACCGTAGCTAGTGGTCAGACCAGACCCTAGCCCTGACAGACCAGAACCCAATCCTCCACTGAGACCACTCGTGAGTCCTGAACTCAAACCAGAATTAAGACCACTAGCGGCTGCAGAACCTCCAAGAGATCCTGGCCCTAGGAGATACTCAGATTGAGGTGCAGGGATGGGGATTGGTTGTGGGATAGGAAGTGAGAGTGGCAATCTAGCTCTTTGAGTGGCAATCTGCGCCGACTGAAGTTGACCTGATTGTAGCTGGGCTGACTGAAGTTGGGCTGACTGAAGTTGGGCCGATTGAATCTGACTTGGCTGAGGCACGCGAAATGGAAGTTCTCTAATGAGAGGCGCAGATTGTTTCACGTAGTAGGGAGTTTGCAAAGGCCTGGACACTGGATAGGGATGAGGAATCACGACTGGTACTTGTTGAGCACCAATCGCAGCTCCGCTTAATCCTCCAGGAATTCTCTCAGCCAAGCTTCCTGAGAGAGTTCCACTCAGTTGACCACTGAAAGAACCTTGCAGGCCTGAAAGTGCAGCTGGAAGGCCTGCTGCTGGTAATCTTCCACCGAGTCCCACCAAATTTCCACCATAACTAGAGCCGGAATTCAGATCCAAGCCTCCTGACGATCCTCCAAGTCCCCCTGGGCCAAGAAGCACGCCTCTCTTCGCCTTTTCACGTTTTCCTGGCTCCACTTCACCGGCAATGGCGGCGGCCACCAAAAGACAGAGCTGCGCGAATCGATTTCGAGGTTTGAATTATTGATTAAGAGCGCTTCTCTGTGAATTATGTCCTGGGTTTGCTTTGGAAACGGAAAGGAAGTAGATTCCGGTCTTTTGGTACGCGTTGGTTTTTGAAATTCAATGAACTAATAATTTATAATTCAGGAATGTGGTGAAATTTCAACGAATAGTTGAAGTTGTATCGATTACTTGCGTTTGCTCTCGATTTGAATGCAGCGCGGATACATCGTTCGAAAAATGAATTGACAATTATTTGGGATAATACTTAAAAAAACTTTGGTGTCTTTATGAAAAATTTTCACAATTTTTTGATGCAGAATTCAAACTTTGTAAATTTTATATTAAATTAAATTTTGCTCTCTTGAACTTTTTCTATGATTTTTTAAAATTAGTGCTTTCGAGGATTTCGTGTTAAATTTCCTATGATTATAATTCCACCAATTTACGATATAAAATTTTATATACAGAGCTGAGCTTAATTTGATTTAAAAATCCACTCTTTAAACCCAATATTTGCAAGAGAAACAACTACAAAGTCCCAACTAAAGCAATTAAAAATCCATCGCAATTCTGATAAAAATTCACGTAGAAATGTCTATATCTACTTACTAGGAAAGTCTTCATTGTTGCTTGTCGCGAGTGCAGCTTCGAGTGTGCAATCATTCGGTCCAGCTGCTGATTTTATACAACTAGGAACAATCACTTTCACTGAAATCGGCAATCGTACACGCCCTGTTTGCGAGTGCTCTCTGTCCAATTTTTTTTCGCCAACGTTTCATCCGATCCCTCTGACACGACCGCAATCGTTGAAAACAGGGCATTACGCGACACACACACACAAACTATGCGCCTGGATACGATAATTCTTCGTTTGCTTCTGATCTACGCCTCGTACCAGTTTCTGGATCATATCGTGTGTCGTGCACGCGTAATACTCGCATTTTTGTTACAACCGTCACCTCTCATGCGCGTCTCTTGCAATCAGGAAATGAATTCATGGATATACATATATATATATTTTTTTTTCTTTGAACCAGGTCAGAAGTTTCAACTAGTGGAGTTGGTAGTCTTAGGATCAAATGGATGTGAATGTTTGAATGCTCACTCATTACCTGGTCGTAGAGTTTGTAATGTTTTTGGAGAATTACAGTACTGATTTTTGTTGACATTTCAAAGTGATTTATAGAGAGTTTCAAGTGCGATCGAAGAACGTGAATTAGTTCAATCATTTTGGTGACGTGTAGTCAAGATAGAATTTTACAAAGTAATTGTAAAATGGGATGCGAACATATTTCTTTTAGGGGGATTTGGAGTTTGAAATTGTACTTTTTTAAAGAAAGAAATTAAATTGGAGACTTGGAGTTAAAAATGAAGAAACGAAAGAGAGGGAACACGATACTTCCATGAAGAAAAAAGTAGCAAAAATTTCCCAAGCATTATTTCCACATCTCTTTATCTCTGAAATCAATACCACATCCATTACGCTTATTGTAAGTACCGATATACACGTGAAAAATGCATTTAATCTGCGTGATTAAATACAACCGACGGTGTTCGGTGACAAATGAACGCGATAATTTTTCAAATGATTTTCAATGGCGGCTTTATGAAAGGTGGAAATCGAATCGAACAATCGAGATACGAACGCTTTGTGCGAGGTATAGAGAGACGCGGAAATGACGGATGCAAAAGTCGAATCTGGCACAAAGTGACGAATCATGGTTTCGAATTTGCGAGGTAACAAACGATCGATTCTTCCTCGATTATTCCGCGCTAATCGATCGGAACTTTATTGTATCTGAGACTATTGATTCGATCTTTCAGAAGACTAAACCATGGAAGTTTCCAATTGTAGAAAAATAATTCTAGTATTTGAAGTGGGAAAAGGTTGGACTTGTTGCGTTGATTATTATGTTTTACAACAAAAATTATTTTAACTAAAATTAACTCCTAAAAATGGGAATAAATTTTCTGGGAATTCCTAAAATAGAGACAGAGTTAAAATTTCTAAATTTAAAATTCCAGATTCCTATTTTATTTCAAGTTTCTAAATTTGAAAGTCGGGTTAGAATTAAAATTAATATTTCTCTAAAATTAGAATGTCCACGCTCGACCGGTATCAGGGATGAAAGTCGAGTTTTTAATAATCTGATAATTAAAATTAAAATGAATGAATTTCCTATTTCCTACGGGTTTGAGAAAACGAAGTACGCGAGGCGACAAAACGGAAGCTCGATTTTTCACGTCTCCTTTGGGATCTGGTTGCGATGAATCACAGACAATCCGAATCACGGTTATTCTTCGTCCCCTGGAATCAACCTCGCCGCGCTGTGTAAAATTTTACGAACATGAACACTCACTTTACATTCATCGCGCCGAACTACGTCTTAATCAATTGCAGTTTTCGTCGTTATCCAAATCCAAGATGAATTTATATTTCACAAATGCACACGAAGCTGGAAATCACCAACGACGATTCTTTGACTTTGTGTGGGATTTTATTTTACGCCTTTGTTACGCGATACCGAGTTGGATGTGTGACAAAACTAGAATCGCAATCTTCTTGGAACGAAGATTAGTTTCAACTTCACTAAATTAGAGAGAATTAGCAAAGCTTTCGTCAGATTATCTTCAACACATTATTGTCGCGTGATTTTTTTGTGTACATTAACTCTTGAGTTTAAAAGAAATTGTCCTAATAAAAAAAAAAAAAAGAAAAAAAAACAAAATCAAACTTGACGATGAATATTTAATTTCTAAAGAATCAATCAATAATCAAAAAAAAATATTCTCAACTAAATATTCTACAGAAATAAAATCAATAGATTTAGCAATCAAGAGAGAGAGAGAGAGAGAGAGAGAGAGAGAGAGAGACGGAGAAGATTTTTCTGGATCACTTATGCCACTCAGATGCGAATTTCAATTGGTTGATACGCAATCCTACTTGCGCAATTGAATCGCGTCTGGTATTGCATAGCGTATAATGACTTCCTGTTGACACTGTGAACTCCTCGCGTAGCGTGAAACTCGAAACTGTGCTCTATCGGCTACTGAACAGACGGATCGATGTTGCCCCGCTGGAAAAGAGTTTATTTCGCAAGATCGATATCGACGGAATCTCGTTTATCCCGACGGAATTAGAATTCTTCGACGGAGGCTAATTACTCACCGATGCCTCTATATTTAGTGATTTACATAACTCTTTCGTTACTCGTTTTCTGTTGGGAGTTTCGCGCAGTTGGTGCAGCGAGAAAGCGTTTTCGTTAACACTGGAGAGTTAATTTTTAAAAATTACGAAACTCGTTCTTACGTTCATTTACGAATCGTTTTTTTTTTTTTTTTACAGTATCTAAAGTAAGAGAAGCGTGTAAAAGAATTGACAAAGGAAAGAACGTATCGGAATTCATATTTCACTTGAAGAAACTTTTTCTAAAAGTTTCCTACTCCCACTGCTACGTTTTTCCTTCTTGTAGATTTGTAACTAGTAAAAATTTATACGCCACAATGATTACGAAAATGTACCTCGCGGTAATTGTGAATTTATATATTTAATTGTATATTTAAATAATATTTAAGTATATTTAAATAATATTTAAATTGTATATTTATAAATTTTTCTTTTCGAAAGAAATGGAAAGTGTTTGAGTATAATTCTATACATCCTCCTCCTCCTCCAAAAAAAAAGAGAAAAAAACGGAAAGAGAAAGAGTTAAAAAAAATTGAGGAAAAGGATAAAAAGAACTGGAAAATTCATTTAAATTATTGATACCAGAAAGAGATTCCAACATCTCTCTCTCTCTCTCTCGCTCGAGGGAAATTATTTTACAAAATGTAAGTCGAGAGCGATCAACTCGGGCAATTAAAAATTTCATCGTGATTGACAATCGGCGGTGCTACGCAGGTGCATAATTCGATTGGACGGTCATTTCACCGGTGAACGCGTTATTAGACCCGGGTTTTGTTTCCCGTTAAAATCTCGTTTCGAGGGATGTCGATGAATTTAACGCCGGCCAATAGAGACGTTGAGCCTATTTCCTCGCGCTATGCTCGATAACTCGACTCTTGCGAGATTATCTCTCGGATTCCCGTTTAATCCGTCCTCAAGTGGCCACGAGTCGATACCATAATGAAGTCCACAGTGTGAACGCGAGGCTTTTCGACAGATTCGGCGAAGATGGCCGATTAATCCCGACTTATTCAGAGAGATTTTGTTGATCTGCAACGGTTGACATTTTCAGTAGAATTTCGTATAATTGATTGAACACGTGGATTAAACGAATAACGCAATCTAAAATAAGTATAATTTCTGAAGAATCTGCCGAGGAAATCAAACGTCGATCTTCAGTTGTACTTTTCGCGCGAACAACTCTCTTCACTCTTGTTATCTTCGATTTCGTTTTCGTTTTGTACTCGATTTATTTTCTCTTTATTGCTGGCCGAGCAAGGTTTTAAGGAAGAGAAGTTTTAATTGGACTTGGCGAAATTTTTTTCGCTCGACTCGTGCGTCGACGACTTTTATTTTTATTAATTAGTGCAACGAGAGAGGAATCATTTCTTTTTTTTTTTTTTTTTTAGAAAGCAATTTAAATGGGAAAGAGGACAATCTCGGAATTGAAATAGAAAGAAAAAAAAAAAAAAAAAAAAAGAGTAAAACCGTAACAAAAAAAGTAACTAAAAATTAAAATTTCCGTGGTTTTTTTTCAGATAAATATTTCCAAGCCAATGACTCGCGAAACGAGCCAATTACGATCACATCCCGATGCTTTTTAATAACTATAATAACAAAAAAATGATTCCTCTTCTAAATAAATAAAATTAATAAATGAAATTGAGAACAATACATTTGATCCAATATAAAATAAACGAATAAATGAATGAAATTGAGAATATTCAATCGCCCTTTGAATTTTCATTGCCACGAAGATTTCATTGACCCCTTGGAAATTAAATTCGAATTGAACAATCCTCCCTTTTTTTTCTTCTTTCTACGCAGAATAAAATCATTGCGCGATGGTATGTCTCGCGTCACGCGTTAAATATTTTGTTGTTATTAACGAGAGTTTAGAGAACGAGGTGTAATATTTCGAGAGACGTGGGAACAGTTGCACGGGCAAACGTTTTCCCGCGATTATTTTCGAATGTCCAGAACGTCATGGGATGACAGGATAATTTACGGTATCGCGATCATCATTCATATTTACGATAGTCTGTGCGTTTCGAACATCTCGTGGACATCTGCCAACTCTAGCTCTACCCAAGATAGCTGATGCGCAATTATGTCTGTTGGAATCGTTCTCTGGTATTTACGCCCGCGGAATATCGTCTACGATTTCTTGACCACGTCGTTCGACCACCAATCTCCCTTTCTACGATAAATTTTACGATTCCATTCGGTTCAATTATTTTTTTATAAATTTCTGGGACTTTTGGCGAATTAAGCGTCGTGTAATTGAACGTGTGGATTAAATGGCCGTTCAATTATAAGTTAATTAAGATTCCAACTCGAATAAAGATTTTAATCGGATCAAATATTAATGTTGCGAATGTTATATTAACACCGTAATGATAAATCTGCAAAATAGTGAATTTCGAGATAAACAGTGAGAGTAAACAACATTCGACGGAATTGTGTAATGTATCAAAATGGAAGCTGAAATGTTTTCGTAAAATGTTTGTGAAACAAGACAGCGTATATAAAGTTTGTTTGCAACGTCAAAGAATATTAAAGAGAAAAAAAAGTCGTAAAATATTCAATGAAATTGAAACGTCAGGTTGAAAAGAGTCAGTTTTGCTTCAACTAAAAATAGAATTAAAATCGAAGTTTATTAGATTTCGAAACAACTTAAAAATATTATTCACGCTGTATTAGTCACTATTTAACCAAACGAAGATTAAACACATTAATCAAATCAGGAGGAAATTATTTTGAAACGAAAATTTGGTCGATGTCACTGGAACGAATGGGTGTAATTTTTCCTAAAAATTGACACAGTCTTTGAACACGCGACAGAAACGTCCGAGTGAGAAATAAAAATTACGACACGTGTCAGAAACAGTGACCATAATACTTCTTCGAATTTTATATTTCCCGTGGAAATTTTACGCACAGAATTAAACTTTTTCTCGTACACGTGAGATGAAACCCGAACGAATTCACACAATGAAATTATTGACAGACCTCGGGGAATGCGGCCCATCATCAATCAATCAAATTGTTGCACGCGTGAAAACGAAGTTAATCCGACACCGGCTGTCGAAGATTAAAACATCACCGCGGAATTTAAAAAACGCGAAATTGACAGGTGTCTCGGTCGCCGTAAGAGTTCTTTGTTTGCTCAGGAAACGCGTGGATCCGTGTGACGAAGTAAAATTGCCTCGAAATTACTAGTAAAAGATTGACAAATACCAATTCGAGGGTCGTGTTCTTCCACTGAAGTTCAGCGTTTAGATAAAATAGATGGTCTACATAGAACCAATGATACGACAAATTAAAAATATAACCAATTCACGGACAGCTAGTGACGAAATGAAATAAAATGTGGCGGCGAGTCGAGTGAAGGCGAATGGAAACGAGGCGATGTCTCGATAAAACAATCGTTCGATTCGTTTCGGATCTGGTCCCCGGCGCAGACACGCGAATGTCAGCCGCCTTGCACGAAATCGCGCTGGATCACGTGCGTACGTGGACGAATATCGCGATCTTCACCGCGATCTCTTTGAATTATGGTAGCAGAGGGCCGCGAGGACACGTGTTCCTCTGACCGACGCGACTAGACCTGTTGTAAGAAGAGACAGAGCGAGAGTGACGGCGATGCGGCGGTATCGATAGCCTAACCTATCTCGATCGTGATGTCAGTCGAGGCCAGAGTCAGCTACACGACCACTTGCGC